TGTCAGAGGCGGGTTCCCGTTTTGCTGGCAGAAAGCCTGGGTGGCTGCAGGACTCACTCCAGCATGGATAGTCCCTGGTGCTGTGGGATTGCCGTCATTCCAAGGTGACTGTTCCTCCGCTTAGCACTGGCCTGAAGGACAAATTTGGAAAGAGGCTGAAAGGAGGGACACAACGCAATTTGTGACTTCCACCTTTTCTGTCACTGTGTGTTTTTACTCAAGTAGCTGTCAGGTGCTCCTGCTCCCTCCCTCCCTGTTGGGGCTGCAAGGCACTGCAAGGCTGCAACTGCTCCTCTCTGCTTGGCCAAGGAGAAGCCTCTTCCTCAGGAACCTGGGAAGGGCAACGTCTCACCACACACATCCACCATCTTTCACTGTCCTTTCCTACAGTTTATTCTCTGAGGTTTGCAGGACAGGTAAACAGATTCAGGGAAAGGGAGGAGTGTCTCCTGTCAGAGTTAACAGAAGTTGCTGTGAAATTGTCTGTCATGGTTGCTTGTCCCTTGAAAAGAGGTGGACTGTGGTCACCTGTGAGGCTGGTCTGGTGACAGAGTGACCTTTCTGAACATGGTCTTTCAGTAAACACCTCCACCCCCACACTCAGCCCTTTCTGTTAGGCTGGATTCCTCCTGTCCCATCCCCACTGGGTTTTTGAAGCAGGAGTGCCCTTTGCCCTTCATCTGTGATATGTGACTGACTTTCCTTTCTCAGCAGCGTCAGCAAGTCCCATGAAAATTTCTTCTGGTACTTCACATTTACTTTTCCAGCTGACAGATGGTTAAGTAAGCCCTTGCTTGATCCCCTGAGCATCTCTGCTCTACTTAGACCCACTGCAGAAGCCCATCAGATGATGTTCTGATATCTTCTTTATTTTTCTAATGATTTCTGGCTTAGAATCATAGAATGTTAGGGATTGGAAGGGACCTCTGGAGATCATCTAGTCCAACCCCCCTGCCAAAGCAGGGTCACCAAGGCTAGGCCACACAGAAATGCATCCATGTGGAAAGTCTCCAGCAAAAGAGACTCCACAACCTCTCTGGGCAGCCTGTTCCACTGTTTTCTCACCCTCACAGTAAAGAAGTTTCTCCTCATGTTGAGGTGGAACTTCCTATGTTCTAGCTTATACCCATTGTTCCTTGTCTCATTACTGGGCACCACTGAAAAGAGACTGGCCCCTTCCTCTTGTCACCTACCCCTCAGATATTTATAGACATTAATAACATCCCCTCTCAGCCTTCTCCTCAAGACTTAGCAGCCCCAGTTCTCTCAGCCTTTCTTCATAGAAGACATGTTTAAGTCCCTTAATCATCCTTGGAGCTCTCCATTGGACTGTCTCCAGTAGATCCCTGTCTCTCTCTTGAGCTGGGAGCCCAGAACTGGACACAGTACTCCAGGTGTGGTCTTACCAGGGCAGAGTAGAGGGGCAGGAGAACCTCCCTCAACTTGCTGGACACACCTTTCCTAATGCACCCCAGCCAAGACTGCCCCCAACCTTAACATCCATGGCTAGACCTTCTCTGTTAATACAAGGTCCAGCATTGCACCTCTCCTTGTTGGCTCTTCAACCACCTGCAGCAGAAAGTTATCAATGCACTGCAGGAAGCTTTTGGACTGGATATGCCTGGCTGTGTGATCTTTCCAACTAATATCAAGGTGATTGAAGTCACTCATGAGCACCAGGGCACGTCATCTTGAGGCTACTTCCAGCTGCTTCTAGAAGGCCTTGTCAACAACTTCTTGGTTTGGTGGTCTGTAGTAGATGCCCACAACTGTATCACCCATGTTTGCATGTCCCTTAACTCTTGCCCATAAGCTTCATAATCTCCCCCTGGGTTAAGCTCAATATGTTCTAAAAGTACACAGTTCTCCATTACCACATTCCAGTCATGAAATGACTTCAAAGTCCTGCCTCAAAGATTACCAGAACTGACTCAAGTTTCTTTTGCTGCCTCACTTCTCCAAACTCATTTGCATGTTCTACAAGGCACTCCTGAAGCTATTCAGAGAGATTTTTTCGCCACACATTGTTTTCCTCCAAGGAACTGCTTTATGCATCAAACTCTTTGAATCAGAACTAATGTGACTTAAGGTCAGGTTGCTAGGATGTTTATCTGTGCACCTTTTCCTCTCTGAGGGCTACTTTAGAAGATAGTTATATTATGTTTTCAGGGAAAAGGTCCTTGAAGGAATTCACACTTTACTCTCTCAAGAGTTCCAGCCCTGCTTCTGGCCCTTCTGCCCTCCCCCCACCTCTTGCTCTCTGTTTCATTTGACCCAATGGCCAGCAAGCAAAGCAGACTAACAAGAGCAGTTAGAAGCCTCGTGACTCAGCTCTGGTGGCATAAATGTTTCATGCTGTCCTCTCTGAATCAATCTTGAGAAAAACCCTTACTCAAGAATGTAGAATACATAAACCAAATAAGAAATCAGTATTGTAGCCATTTATGTGTAATAGAGATTGGACAGAGCATCGTTTCTTCCAAGCCGGGTATTGCTGTGGTCTAGGTACATTTTGGACCTGTATTTTTTTACTTTGTAAGGCTGAAATTTCTCTCCAAAAGTTTTAACTGCCATAGAAAAAAAGAAAGAAAAATGGAGAGGGGAAGAGACTTTTTAACAACATCTTACAAGTTGTGAAAATTTTTTAACATCTCCATGACCTTCTAAAATGACTTGTGAAACCAGATTGACAATTCCATGAAAAATTCAGTTTGAATCCTTCTGCTACAGTCACAGGAAGGGGAGGGAGAGTAGCAGCACAGTGGGGAGAGCAAGATGAAAGAAATGGGTAGGTGTAGCAACGTCTGGGAGACCCTGGTTGCCAGTAGCTATCATCTCATGCCTCCATCCTTTAGTAAGAGTGCCCAGCTTAGCTTTCTGGACCTCTGACATAGGCAAGTTGTGCTATGCTGTCTGCAACTGTACTGGGCAATGCTGGTGCCTATGATAGCTCTGCTGCCCTGCAGTTTTACTGGCAGAAGCTCATTGCTTTCTCAGGCTATTACTGCCACACAGTTGCTGCACTGTATCTGAGTTGTAGCTGCGTTGTGTAAAGCTTGAGTAAATCTGTATTTAAACCACTTGGAAATTAAAAATGCTGTACAAAACATTACTGAGAGGTACTTCACACTCAAGACTTCATATTCTAATCCCTTTGGCCAGTTCAGGACTATATGCTTTAACCCCATCATTGATCCACATGGCATGTCCTCACCCTGTCCCTTCTCACACAGTTTTATATTGTGAATATACATATAGATGCTGCTTAAATCAGTCTTCTCAGCTCAGTTAATGACTTACTTGCAACCCTTTTTTTCCCAAAGACCCTTTGGCTTTTTTCTATACTCAAAGGGCTATAAAAAATGTTTTTAAAATAAAATGTTCAAACATCTTCAGTAGCTTATCTCTTGCCACTTATTAATAGTGGAAGAGCGACAGCTAAATAAAATGAGGGAGATGGTGGTCTGTGGTATTTTAGAATGAGGGAAAGATACTTTAGTGTCAGAAGAGCAAAGCATCATAAACAAAATTCTGATTTCCAAATGGATTATTTGCATACAACAGTGCTTATGCCAGCATCTCCCTTAAAGTGTGTTGAGTTGGTAAATGAGTTGAGTTGGCAAGGGACTGCAGATGAAGAGGCTTTTCTCTCACTGATCCTTTCAACACAAAACTTATGAATCTTTTGTGCAGATGCAAAATCGGTAGGTACTGATGTCAGCTGGCACAAGCAGGGTATGAAATGTAAGGGCTCTGTGGCTACTGTGAGGTGTGTGGCTAAAGAGAGCATTAATGTTCACTGGAAATAAGGCCATACCTCAGCTTTTCAGAAGCAACACACCCAGAGGGTGAGCTTGTCTTACAGATGTGTACCTTCAGGGCCCTCAGGGAGTCAAAGCAGAGTAGCCATGCTTGTCTACATGACTTCCTTTCCAATCAACTTTTGCTGTGATTTTTCTGCCTGCTGTGCCTTGGAATTGTATGACTGGGGAGAACTAGTTTGGGGAGTAGAATCCTTAAAGGCAGCCTGCAGAGCCAACTTAAGGTGAGGACAGAAAACACACCACAGAATAAAATCAGAAGTCTTCACTGGGTTCCTAGAACAGTTCCTCAGATGTGAACACAGACAGATGATTCTTGGAAAATCTGTCTTATCGGGGCAGAGTAAATAAATAAGTTGTGTTCAGGTTAAAATGTGTCTGAGCAGCAGTTTATTTGCTGCAGTTGAGTTCCATTGCACAAGGATTGTGAAGTAAAATGTTTCTCATCAAAACACTGGAAACAAGCATTTTGCAGGACAAAAGTCAAACAGAAAAAACCCACATTAGTAGTTCCCCAACATGTGGTGCAGGAGTTCACATGGATTTGTATCAGTTGCATTTAAAACACAAGCACTATACAGTGCTTAACCCAGAAATAAGTTATATCAAAGACCTACATAGTGTAAAAACAAAATAAAGGCATTTTACAAACACACTTCAATTCAGATCTTCAAATGTACTGCTGCAGCTTTCAACTTCAGTATCAATAACAAAATCAAATAAGATAAGCACTTTTCAAATCCTTTTCCAAGGAGAGAGTGAGTATGGGGTCAAATCTTTGGTCATTTTCTTATGATGTGTTTTTAGACTTTTTATATATTCAAGTTCTTACAGGTTTGGGTTTTAGGGTTTTTTTTAACATCTTGGGTAAAATTTCTAAATCAGATCTAAGAAGTCCATTTGTATCCCCACAGAGCAAAAAATAAATAAATGATAAAGTAGATTTGGTTGTAGAAAAAATGGATCTGTCACCTGACTCTGTAAAACCATCTGCATTTGCCCACTGAAAACTGAGTTCAGCTCTGCCATAGTGTCAGAATTTTCTTGTCCTCAAAATCTCATGTTTACAATTCTTTCAGTTGGGAGGACAGTAAACTGAATGGGAGCCTCCATTCAGAATTTCCCACCAATTACTCTATCTGTGTTTGTTGATTACTGGGTACTGTTCTTCACATGGAGTCAGAACTCATAGGTAAGACTTTTTGCCATCTTGCTGAGTTTCATTTTTTCATTAAATATCTCTTCAAACCTTCGGTTCTGTTTTGGAGTGAAATGGTTCTTCCAATCACCAACAGCACCTAGGAGAACAGAGACAGAATAAAAACAGTGAGGTTAGCAATACATAGTGCAGAAAACTATTTAAAAGCAGCCCAGTTTTGTTAATGTTGCAGTTGGCACAGTTTATTAATAGATAAATAACCATATCTCTTTGGTATGTCATGATAATGAGTAATTGTTTTATTGGTCTGGTGAAACTTGGATGGAAACAGCTGGATCATCATCCTGAAAGAGTGTTAAGCCCTCAGACTCATTTAATACCAACAAAACTAAGTGGTACATGAAAACCAGCAAATTTGCTATATGGAGTTGGAGCTCTTCATCATCTCAGCAGAGAGGTATCTTGCTGCACCTTAAATGTATGCAGTTAAAGGTCTCTACCTGGACTCTTTCACAGTAGAGTGAAAAGTTTACATCCTAGCTGAAATTAATTTCATCTGAGTCAAGATCTAACACTCATCAAATGAGAGGTGCCCCAAATGTAGCTGTATCTCTTCATTGACTAAAGAAGACTCCTAAAAACTTAGGACTGAGTAACCTGATCAATGAACTGCTATCCAGTTTGAGTAATCAGGGAATCGTTTTTTAAACCAATGTGTTTTTGTGAGACAATGTTTACAGTTTCCCCTCATGCATTCTCCAAAGACCCTGCATCCCAAAACTCCTAACTGAAAACAGTATTCTGAACAAGGAGGACAAGAAAAGAGAGCCCAAAGAATTATATACATACATGTTCTCTAAACTGGCTAAAAACCTGGGATTCACACAGGAACTATATGGCAGGGAAAGTGCTGGGATTTTTCAAATTTTTCAACATAGCTTTGTCAAAGTTCACTGACTTAGAAAAGTGTATCTGAGTTTTTTGTTTATTTGTTTGCTTCTTGCCGACAGATTGGATTTCAGCATTTGGTTCAGCTCACTGGTAAACACATTCTGAATTAGTGCAATGTACCATTTCTCTACTTATAAATGAAAACAACTTTTTCTTAATTGAAACATTTAGTTTTAAAATGTCAATTATTGTTCAAAAACTGAGTAAAAATAAATATGATGGTTTTGGTTGACGTACTATCCAAATTTGAGGAAGATTCTGAAATGTCAGCAAGAAAACAGCTCCTGCAAGTATTTCTAAGTCACATCTGAGCTAAGCACTGTTGAAGATGTTACTATGGATTCCAGGTTGGCCAAGGTCCGAAGGCCATGAGGTGATCGAGTCATTAATTCTTTCCCTGTTGTCATTGTCAGCATATTCTTTTTTCAGGAATGTTTCAGGAAGTAAGACGTGGTAGGAGAGGATAAAGGCTACTAGCAAGTCTCTTTTGTACACAATGTGTCTGTCTCTTTCTCATTCTAGCAAACTGAGTGACCTTCGCAGGTGATATCACAGGGAACATGTTGTAAAAGACTGAGGTGGCCAGCTTTTAGATAAAAAAAGACAGATAAAGCGTAATGCTTCATGACCCTTTCCTTTTAGCTCATAAGCACCCACAGAGCATTATTAGCCAGACTGCTGTTCATGCTCCTCTATGTTTCTCTAGCGTTTGCAAACCAAGAACTTAAAAACAAAGTGGTTTTTAAGATGGCTTCAAACTGAAGGCTCCTGTTCCTGCTTCCTGGGGTTGACCCAAAGTGTCACTACAGCCCAGAAAATATCTGGACTGCAGCCTTCTGGCTGGGTTCCCACTCCTGCCGCTTTAAGCCCCACCCAGGCACCTTACCTTTTCTGAAAATCAGCTTCCTGTTGGATGTCAGTGAACAAACAGTATGACTGGGATCACTGTTCTCCTTTTCCGTGTCACTCTTCATCTCTGAGAAAGAGGACTTCTTGCAGATGTCTTGGACATCATTGTCACTGACATATAAATCCAGGAACAGACTAATTTCCTTTACAATCTTAGGCAGATCCTGAGGTACAAGAAAAATAAAGCTTTTATATTTCCAAGCCAATTATCAGCCTTTTAGTTGATATGAAATGATCCTTTTTATTATTTATCAAGTTTATCACACATATTTTCTTTCAAGCAAAGCTAAACACGTCATTAGGCTGTGTAGATGGCAGGTACAGTACAATACACACAGAAATTAATACATGCTGAGTAGGTGATACTGGATATAGTTGCATTGCCAATTTTACTCCTAGTTCAGGAAAAGTGTTCTCCTGTCACTCGGAATTATTTCACTGGGGATAGAGAAATACTAAAAGCTTGGTCTGTAGAAGTAGCTTATTTCATTGAATGTGATATATCTAGAAATCCAACAAGGAAATCAGGATACAAAATGACTTGTTTATTTTCCTTGTAATAGTTTGGTCTCTGGTTTTTTGGTTGTGGGTTGGGTTTTTTTGTTTGTTTTTGTGGGGTTCTTTTTATGTTTGCTGTTTTGTGGGTTTCGGGGGTTTGTTTTGTTTTGTTTGTTGTTGTTTGCTTGGGTTTTTGTGAGGGTTTTGTTGTTACTGTTTTCAGAAAAAAACCTCTTTTAATGGTAACACTAGAAAGTGTTTTCTATGCACCAAAAAATTCACTCTCTGAAAGGTATGTTGATATTTGAGTTTTCAATAATTTCCTGTAATAAAAACTTTTTCCTACCCCAGCCTCTAATTTTCTTCTTGATTGGGAACACAAGTCACGGAATCACGGAATCACAGAATTGTTAGAGTTGGAAGGGACCTGTAGAGATCATCCAGTCCAACTCCCCTGCTAAAGCAGAATCCCCTAGAGCACATTACTCAGGGCTGCATCCAGGTGGGTCTTCAATATCTCCAGAGAAGGGGACTCCACAACCTCCCTGGGCAGCCTGTCCCAGCACTCTGTCACCCTAACTGTAAAAAAGTTTTGCCTCATATTTAAATGGAACTTCTTCTGTTCCAGCTTGTGCCTGTTGCCCCTTGTCCTGTCACTGCAAACTATTGAAAAGAGTCTGGCCCCACTCTCCTTGCACCCAGCCTTTAGATACTTGTAGGCATTAATAAGGTCTCACCTCAGCTTTCTTTCCTTCAGGCTGAAGAATCCCAGGTCTCTCAGCCTTTCCTCGTAAGGGAGATGCTCCAATCCCCCAGGCATCTTTTTTGCCCTCCGCTGGACTCTCTCCCAAAGCTCCCTGTGTCTCTTGAACTGGGGAGCCCAGAACTGGACCCAGTTCTCCAGATGTGGCCTCACCAGGGCAGAGTAGAGGGGGAGAATGACCTCTCTTGACCTACTGGCCACACTTGTCCTTATGCACCTCAGGATTCCATTGGCCTTCTTGGCACCAAGGGCACTTTGCTGGCTCATGGATAATTTTCTGTCTCCCAGGTCTCCAGGTCTCCCAGATCCTTTTCCTCAGAACTACTTTCCAGCAGGTCCATCCCTATCCTGTATTGGTGCATGGGGTTCTTCCTGCCCAGTTGCAGGACCCTACACTTGCCCTTGCTGAACCTCATTAGATTCTTCTCTGCCCAGCTCTCCAACCTGTCCAGGTCACACTGGATGGCAGCACAGCCCTCTGGAGTGTCATCACCCCTCCCAGTTCGGTATCATCAGCGAACTTGCTGAGGATACACTCTGTGCCCTCGCCCAGGTCATTGATGATTATGTTGAGTAAGACTGGACCAAGTATTGATCCCTGGAGGACACCACTGGTTACAGGCCTCCTGCTCGACCCTGCTCTGTTAATCACAACCCCCTGGGATCTGTCACACAGCCAGCTCTCAATCCACCTCATTGTCCACTTGTCTAGCCCACACTCCCTCAGTTTCCTGATGAGAATGTTATGGGAGACAGTGTCAAAAGCCTTGCTGAAGTCAAGGTAGATGACATTTGCTGCTCTCCCCTCATCCAGTCAACCACTTATGATATCATAGAAGGCTATCAGATTGGTCAAGCATGATTTACCCTTGGTAAATCCATGTTGATCACTCCCAATAACCTCCTGTTCTTCAATGTGCTTAGAAATTACATCCAGAATGAGTCCCACTGACCATAAGTAGTTCTGTTGTTGTATGTCACTTTTTGAAAATGTCACCAGAAACGTCAGGCATAACAGGTTCATCTGTGGTCTTCAACAGATGTCCTTGGTTGGTCTTTCCAGAGGACCAAGAGCAAAGAGCTTAAAATTCTTCCTGTAGCCTGGGGGAAATCATGTAATATGTGTCCCATCTCCTGCATCTATTAAGTGCAATTCTCACAGGATTTGGTAAACTTGTGTAGTCAGAGTTAGCTCATTGATATCAAGATCTACACAAATATGAAATGCACCCAAAGAAATACATTAACATTTTCCTTCTTTCTACTTTTTCATTATAATTTGCTCTTTGACATTTTTATGATGTTAACTTACAGGTAATGTTTCTGAAAAAAGATCAGAGAGCATGTTTACCTTCTTCATGTCTTCATAGAACAAAAACAGGATGTTTTTGTCATTTTCATGTTCTTCCCAACTTAGGAAATGATCAAACCAAGATCCACAGACAACTGAAAAGAAAACCCATTAAAAGAGATTCATATAAACTTTATTCCTAAAGAACTCTGCCTGTACCTCACACATTTAGAGGAATGAACCCTTCCTAGGATGTACCACTAGCTAGAAATATGCTTCACTAGGAAGTTAAATAAGGAGCCTGTTAAATGGAGCACACTGTTGTTAGCTCTATTTTGTCCCAGCAGAGAACAATCTATGTTACTTTTAAATGTTAAAGACGAACGATGTTAGTAACTTATAATGCAAATACATCACACAACCAACAATGTAGAGAACTTATTATTCTGTATTTGACTCCTGTTCATTATTTTGTCTGAATGCTACTTTTGCTGAGCCATGGGAGGAGAACTGATTTTTGCCTTTCTTTTAAAAACCAAAATTCTGAGCCTTCTGGTGGAAGGGCAAGATGGACTGCATTGAAAGATGAGTTGGAAACCTCCTGTAGGGTGAGGAGAAGAGGCTTAGACAGAGCAGTCACAGCCAATGTTCTCCATAACTGTGGCTTTGCTTTATAACTGCTCCCAGAAAAGTACAATATTGTAATGGGCATAATTTTGGTTGCAAACTTTGAGTTGAAATTAAGTATTTTGTTGAATGCTTGAATCTGTAGCTATCTCCTGGACATAAAGCACCATCTAACTGCAAGGCATGTATGCTCCAGGGTGTACAATTAAACCCTGTTGCCCTGCTCCAACACACTGGAGTTGTGGCCAACAGTAGCATAGAATAGCCCTGTTGGCTTCAGGGGTACAGCATACAGCCTTGGAGACTCCAGGGTCAGTATCACAGTTGTGTCTGTGTGTCCTCATCCTTGTTCTAAGGGAGATTAATGCTGCAAGAGTACTACAGGATCTGAATCAAGCAGCAGAAACTTCCTGTGTTTCTATTAGGAAAATGATGACTTCTCTACACACAAACTCTTAAGTAAATTTATGCTGTAACCAACTGTTATCTTTTTATGCCATATATAAGCACACAGAAAATAAAAGGTGGCTACTAAATTACAGACAAACGGGAAATGCTTTTAAAATTTAATATAATCCTCTTTTCTTCCTTTCACTAATGTATGTTCAGAGTTGATATTAAACAAGTCTAGATCCTGCAAATCACTGAAGAATGTCCCTCAGGCCTGCTCTGAACTAAGAACACAAGATATGAGCCAAGAGCAGCACAAGCCAGTAAACAAATTGACTGCTGGAGCTCTGATGTAAGCCCATGATGACCTCAATGGGACTTCTCTTTCAAAGTTTTCAAGCTGATCTACCATTGTTGCTGTTATCGTCACTATGTTTGTACAGCAGGAACACATGTCCTCACAGAAGTAATAAAGCACTAAAACGGGAGTGGATAACTGCAACATGGTCCTGTTGTGAGCTTCCAGGCCACCATGGCCACTCATTTTTGTCCTTGGTCTTTGGACCCTGCTACTAAGACAACACATAAGCAAAAAGGCTTTATGAAAGCATCTGGACTCCCCTTGAAAGGCCACCAAAGGCTTTCTTCAAGACTGGACAAGGCACTACCCCTGCAAGCATAGCTCTCAGTGCAGCCTGGGAACAGTCTTTCTGTGTGCCAAATTGCCTGCACTTTGGGACAGTAGTGAGGCATGTAGAGCTGGCTGAGCACCTTCAAATGGAGCAGCTGCCCTTCGAGGACAGGAAGTGGCTGCAGTGAGCCCAGCTGCCCTTACCTCTGCTTGGGAGGAGCTGTATACACATACCTCCCCTATCACAGATTAAACATGGAGAACTGTCTGTTTTTCCAGTTCACAAGACAAGGTTGGAAATGTTTTAACACAGGCAAATCCACATCAGAATCGACAAATTGTTAGGGGTTTCAGAGCCTTTGTGGGAAGAAATAAAGTAAGTGACTTATCTGTGGAAATGTTTTTTAAGAGATATGTCAAAGAGCAGCAACCTGCAAAGAGCAGTTGTGCTTAAGTAATGCAGCTACTTATCCAAATGCCTCCTTGCAGGGCTGAAGATAGCATCCTGTTATTGGTCTTGTTTAGTTTGGCATTGGAATTTATCCTGGAAAAAAACCCCTAACTAAAGCCACATTAATAAGGAGTTCTGTGGAAGTTTTCAAACAGTTCACATTTCTTAACTCTTTCTGTGCATAATAAGCTTATGTAAACTGCAAGAAGAAAACATAACATTATCCTTACCATCTCCTTTTACAAACAAGTCAAAGAAAGCAGTCCAAGTGTCTACAGTGGGAAGATTTGGGTTATCTCTGTAGTAATGATACATGGAAACTGCAGTGTCTTTTGGATTTCTGCTTATGTATATCATCTGTAAGTGAAGATGATATGGTTATTAATTTTATTATCTTAGAGGTGCTCTATGTGCAAATGTAGCATTTTCACAGGCAGTTTGCAGCATCAAAACCCTTTCCTTTACAACTCCTCCTTTGGTGACCACACCATTGAAATAGAAATGTATTTACATTTTGAAGGTAGAAGGCAGGAGTTGTTAGTAAATAATTCCATGTGAAGATGTTTTGTTTGCTACACCTAGTTAATGTTTGTGTTTTATTAGATGCCATGTTCATTTTAACTCATGAGTCAGTATACTATCTCATATATCTACAAAATTAAACCATTTACTAATAAACATTCATGGGACAGCTGCCAAACATAAATTTTGGCCTTCCATTCAAACTAGCTTTGTCTCAGAAGTCTGCATCTGAGTAATCCTGAAATGCTGACTTTATAGAGTCTGCACGAAGCTTCAGCAGGGAGGAGCAGAATATATTCCCCCCCCAGAACAGCCTATAAAAACTCAAGGTAACTATTTTCTAAGCTAGTGCTCCAGTCACTATAAAATGGGGCCATGAGAACACACCCCATCCCTAAGGATATATTTTTGATTTAAAGATGTTGAAGTTCTATTTAATGTGGTGCCTGCCTAGTATAGGAATCAGAAGCAGGATGCAGAACCCAGTTCCTTGCTCAAGTCTCTGCTCACACTGCCTTCAACTGCTGATCAGCTGTGTCTCCAAAATTTAGAGAAAACACTTCTGGAAACTATAAATAATTTTAAAATTATTAACACTCAACAAGGCAAATAGATTCTCATTAGACACTTAACATATCTTACTGCTTTTGTATCTCTTTTCCTTACCTTGCATTTTTTATTCTTAAAATTTGGAGGTAACATGTGGTAGTCTAGGTGCGTTGGGATGATTCTTTTTGATGAGAGTTTATTCAGCTCCTCCAGTTTGGAAATGTCACCAAATTCAATGGGAGATGTTAGTGTAACTTGAGTGTTGTAAAGCTTTGTGATAACTCCTGCAAGCCAGTGAGTGCCTGCAGAAGGGAGGAAAAAAAAAAAAAAAAAAAAAAAAAAAAAAAAAAAGTAAGATTTGTTACTGAGAAAATATGTGGAACATGCAGTTTGCATATAGAAACTGCTTATTAGTGCCCAAGTGATGCTTCTAATCCCCTAGATTCAAGAAACTTCTCATAACTGAACAATCCCACTGCCTCCAAATGTATAAATACTGGAAAAATTAGAGCCATAACTGAAGTACAAAGCAACTACGTAAAAAGTGTTATTATTGGTACCAAAACAGTATAATTAGAAAAACTGCTTGTCAGCTGAAAGGTGGTTATATTATTTTTACAATTTATTTTAGAATAACCTGTGGCTTTTTTTTTTTCCTCATAATATCTTGACTCTGTATACTTGGAAACTACTGACTGAGCTTCTTCTTTGGTGTGTGCTTCTGTGTGCAACTGAGTCAGAGGGAGAGGGAATAAGAAATTAATAAATCTACAGCCAAGAGTCATACATATAACTTCATACAGATCTGTACTTGTTCATAATTGAATGTAGAAAGGCCTCAGGTAAATCCTTCAAGTACAGATTTTGCTTGCAAGCAAGAAATATTTATTTTCTTTCCAGTATGAAAACACCTGAGATTATTTTCAATTAAAGAATCAAAACTTAGATAAATGACACCTATTTTTTCCTAATTTGAACCCTTACTGACAGAATAATACAGTCACATCCTCAAACATTCTTCCAAGTTTCTTGTACACAGCAATTTCCCAACTAGTTTAAGCAGAGAACGTGAAACAAGCAATTGAGACTTTTTGCAACTAACATCTAAAAGTAGAACTTACCAGATTTGGGGTAGGAAACCAAAAGGACGTCATCTTCTCTAGCATCAAAAGTATCCAAGGAATTTAAAAGTTCTGGAGACGACCTAGTGGTAAAGGGAATCCCCTTAAACCTGTGAATGAGTTCTGCCTCACTGGGGCTGGACATGGTTACTTAAGTCTTGGATTCCTGCAAATCAGATAATGCTGAAATGGTGAGGATTTGAGAGTCACTTCTTAGTCAGATGGTTTGAAGTGACAAATCGAGACTGAGCAATGCTAACCTCATCCTTATATACTGTGCTACACACCATGGAGTCCTATCAGATATTGATTTTTCCAGGTAGTTGAATGAGGCAACTGAAATATTAGCAGTAACTTGATAATAAACTCGAAATGCAGAGTCATGAAAAATACTCATCATTTGTAATTTATTAGCTTTCCAGATAAGGTAATGAGGTGATAGTCAAAATGTATTAATTGTGGAAAAATTGCAAGAATGAGCATTGTATGTAACCTTAAAATATTCTTCACACAGTTATTTATTAAGTTACACTTCGTTGTAAGCTGTTTTATCTTCCAAGAAAAAAGCTACATCCTAAACCACTTTTTATTAATGCCAAACCAATCCATCATTTTATGTAAATGAAGTAATTTTTTTTGTTTCATTTCACCAAATATACAACAGCCTGAATTTTCAAAAGAGCAAATTGATTCCAAATGCTTGAATTTTGTGGTGTAAAGGAACTAGGTTTCTTAGCATTTTCTAATTTCAGCCTGAAGCATCTTAAAAATAGAGGTACTTACAGTCATAATCATTTTTTAAGCTGTCATATGTATCCGTAAGAGGGGTATAGACAACAAAAATTTCAAATTTAAAATAGATATATAATATTGGCTTGAATCTTGCATGCTTCATGAAGGGATTGAGGAGTTTTAAATCTTTCCACTGAATATGCTGATGCATGAAAATGAAAGTCACTTGCAGAAAAGAGGCAGTTTTTAATTACTTGTTTTGAAATTTTTCTTTTTTAAAAAAATTGAACCTGTAGAAGTCATCATTAATTTTTTTCAGACTGAAAGCTCCACTTTTGTTTCAAGTGACCTCAAGCAAAGTGAAGGCATCCCAGGAAAATAAATAGCTCAGTTTTGAATAAAAACATTTCAGTGTGCTTAATATTTTAAATTTTTCTTTCCATGGCCACAAATTAGTAATTTTTGCCTTCTTTTCTTCAAACAACTATTGGCTTCGCTATTCCTACTGAAAACTTCCCACAGTCTATTCAGCTGAGGCCCTTAAATATCTTCAACTCAATTTGAGAACTTGTTTTAGAAGAAAGCAATTCTTCATGAATTTCCCAAGTTTACCAAGCTCCCAGTTCCTTTTTTTATCATAAATAACATGTTAGGATTGGTCATAGGAACTGACTGCCAAATGGACCTCCCATGACCCCTGGTAAGAAGTTAATGATTAGAGGATGCCCTCCCAAGAAACACCTGAGAACCTCCCCACACGGACTAAGGACAATTACTATCTTCTGTACTTGCTTCTTTCTAATTCAATCTCCAGGAAAGCCAGCAATTTAGGATTGATTTCCCCACCACCCCTCCCTTTTCTTTGCATTATTGGCAGCCTGCCAGTCAAACAGAAGTGAAGTCAGTAAACCCAGATCTTCTCACCTATATTGCCTATAAAGTTGCCCTTAAACAGTTATCGCTTGCAAAATGCGTTCTGTGCCAACAGCAAACTCTGCGTTCCAGTTATGCAGGGCTGAGTGGAGATGAAAATCATGGAAAATATACTCTGGAGACATGTTCCCTATCAGAGAGGACATGGGTGAGTCTTTCCAGGAGCTAATCAAGTGAGTCAGTGAGAGTACAAGGAACACCTGGATACTGATGCTCAGGTAGAAGTTGGGGTAATGAGTTCAACATTTTTCTCTTGCTCCTGGTCAGAAGATCTAAGCCATCACTTCATATCTTAAGGTAAAAATCCTTAAAAGTCTATACTCTATCAGCAGATTTAACTTTGGTTAAAGGTATCAAAAGTGTGTTTGGAACCATAAAGACACCTGTTTCTGTGTTATTCTGAACATCTGTACTAGGTTGAATACAGAGGTTTCTAAGGTTGATTTTGCACTCATCACTCCAGCCATATGTGTTTAGTGCAAGCTAATAAAAATGTCTTACCTTGACCTAGCAGAAATCATCTTATTGCAAAATGCTTTACATATTTACTACGCTTTTTTCTTTTCATTTCTTCCTGCATTCCTGTTAGGTTTTGAGTCAGCAAATTTGCCTAATCTAATCACTTGGACCTTAATTAATAATTCACAAATGAAATGGCTAAGGTGTAAAACAGAAGCAATACAGAAGCAAAGAAAATTCTGGTCCTTTTGACTCATGTCAACTGCTTTTTACACTAGCTTCCTTTTCCAGTGTTTATAATGTTAATGCCTACACTTGGGAAATAGGGCCAATCCCTGCAACAGAACAGTATCCTGAATTTAAGGGACTAGATGAGCTTTAGAGATCCCTTCCAACACAAGATATTCTGTGATTCTACGATTCTATGTTTAACTTGAACCTCCTATGCTCCATCTTGTGCTAATTGCCCCTTGTCCTGTCATTGGACACTGTGGAAAAGAGACAGGACTCATCCTCCTGACACCTACCCTTTAGATCACAGAATGATAGAATCATAGAATCATAGAAGGCAGGGGTTGGAAGGGACCTCAAGGATCATCTGGTCCAGCCTTTCTAGGTACTACTATAGTTTATATGAGATACCTCAGCATCCCGTCAATCTGAGACTTAAAACTGCCCAATGTGGGAGAATCTACCACTTCCCTTAGGAGACTATTCCAATGTTTGACTGTCCTCATGGTGAAAAATTTACCTCTTGTGTCCAATTGGATCAACTTGTGCGCATCACCCCTTGTCTTTTCATGTAACTTCTTGGTTGCCGCCCTTGAAGTACTGCAACATGGTAATGAAGTCTCCCCTGAGCCTTCGCTTCTCAAGGATGAACAAATGCAGCTTTCTCAGCCTCTCCTCACATGGCACATCCTCCAGTCCTCTGATCATCCTTGTGGACATTCTCTGGACCCTCTCCAGCCTGTCTGCATCCTTTTTGTAGAGCAGGGCCAAAACTGAACTCAGTACTCCAGGTGTGGTCTAACAAGTGCTGAGTAGAGCAGGGTGATGACTTCTTGATCTCTGCTGGTGATGCCCTGGTTAATGCAGCTCAGCATCCTATTGGCCTTCTTTGCCCCTGCATCACACTGCTCACTCACGTTGAGCCTCTTATCCACCAAGTCCCCCAGGACCCTTTCCACAGGGCTTCTCTCCAGCCAGGTGGATCCCAGTCTGAACTGCACTCCTGGGTTATGTGCTCCTAACTGCATCTCTGCATATCCTGGCAACGTCCTTGTTATTTTCAACAGGTAATGTTCCAGTTTTCCACCTCTGGTACTTTTTTATTTTAACAGACCCAGAAGCTAGCAGTTAAGCCAAGGGGGTCTCTTGCTCCAGCTACTTCCCTTGTCTTTAGAAGGGATGAATACTTGCTTATCTAGCAGTGTCCTTGAAAAACTCACAGCACTTACCAGCTCCTTTATTCTCCATGCAAGCTTCCCACAGGATCCCTTCCAACTGAGCCCTGACCAAGCTGTAGTTTGCTCTTCTAAAATCTAAACCCTTTACTCTGGAATTAAACTTCACTCTGCTCAGCAGTATCCCAAACTCCACAATATTGTGATCACTGCAGCCAAAGCTGTGAGTAACTGAGATATTTCAGAGCAGATTCTCTTAGTGAGTAGTAAGTCCAGCTGAGCCCCATTCCTGGCTGGCACACCCAACACCTGTGTGAGGAAGCAGTCTTCTGCACATTCCAGCAACTTGATGGATGTCAGGTGAACCGCAATGTTGTTCCACCAGCAAATGTCTGGCTAGTTAAAGTCTCCCATAAGGTTTTGTTGACCCGAAGCTTGCCTGAGCAACCTGAGTATCGTGTCATTGGTCACATAGTCTTGACTTGGGGGTTGGTAACAGATGCCTACTATAAGGTCTCCTTGGAGATGAACCCCTGATTTTGACCCAGAGGCATTCAGTAGGGCTACCACAATTATCATAGTTGATATTATCATATTATATATCACATATCATATAATTATCATATACATGCAAGGTTTTCCTTAACATAGAGTGCAACTCCTCCACCTCTTCTCCTGTCTTTACTAAATAATTTATAATGAAGTTTAATATATATAACATATTATGATATAACTGAAAACTTCCCACAGTCTATTCAGCTGAGGCCCTTAAATATCTTCAACTCAATTTGAGAACTTGTTTTAGAAGAAAGCAATTCTTCATGAATTTCCCAAGTTTACCAAGCTCCCAGTTCCTTTTTTTATCATAAATAACACGTTAGGATTGGTCATAGGAACTGACTGCCAAGTGGACCTCCCATGACCCCTGGTAAGAAGTTAATGATTAGAGGATGCCCTCCCAAGAAACACCTGAGAACCTCCCCACACGGACTAAGGACAATTACTATCTTCTGTACTTGCTTCTTTCTAATTCAATCTCCAGGAAAGCCAGCAATTTAGGATTGATTTCCCCACCACCCCTCCCTTTTCTTTGCATTATTGGCAGCCTGCCAGTCAAACAGAAGTGAAGTCAGTAAACCCAGATCTTCTCACCTATATTGCCTATAAAGTTGCCCTTAAACAGTTATCGCTTGCAAAATGCGTTCTGTGCCAACAGCAAACTCTGCGTTCCAGTTATGCAGGGCTGAGTGGAGATGAAAATCATGGAAAATATACTCTGGAGACATGTTCCCTATCAGAGAGGACATGGGTGAGTCTTTCCAGGAGCTAATCAAGTGAGTCAGTGAGAGTACAAGGAACACCTGGATACTGATGCTCAGGTAGAAGTTGGGGTAATGAGTTCAACATTTTTCTCTTGCTCCTGGTCAGAAGATCTAAGCCATCACTTCATATCTTAAGTTAAAAATCCTTAAAAGTCTATACTCTATCAGCAGATTTAACTTTGGTTAAAGGTATCAAAAGTGTGTTTGGAACCATAAAGACACCTGTTTCTGTGTTATTCTGAACATCTGTACTAGGTTGAATACAGAGGTTTCTAAGGTTGATTTTGCACTCA